CGATTTAAGACACACTTTGATGAATTGGGTATGTCTCGTTTAATGAAAAGAATGACTAGGGGTGACATGATAGCAGAGTTCCAATATCTAAGGAGCTGCCACAAAGAAGAGGGAGTAAACCTAAGCACCTGAAGGCAGGACAATGGATGGAAACTAATCAAGGGTAGAACCAACCTAGAACTAAGGAGAAATTTCCTGACAGAACAATTAACCAGTGGAACAAGCTGCCTCCAGAAGTTCTGAATGCTCCAACAGTGGAACTTTTGAAGAAGAAATTGGACAACCATTTGTCTGAAAGAGTGTAGGGTTTCCTGCCTGAGCAGCGGGTTGACTAGATGACCTCCAAGGCTCCTGCTTATTCTGTTATCAATCAATAGTAATAGTAAATAATAATAATAATAATAATAATAATAATAATAATAATAATAATAATAATAATAATAATAATAATAATAATAATAATAATAAAAGTTGGAAGGCACCTTGGAGGTCATCTAGTCCAACCCCTTGCTCAGGCAGGAAACCCTATACCATTTCGGACAGATGGCTGTCCAGTCTCTTCTTAAAAACTTCCAGTGTTGGAGCATTCACTGCTTCTGGAGGTAGGTTGTTCCACTGGATAATTGTTCTAACTGTCAAGAAGTTTCTCCTTAGTTCTAGGTTGCTTCTCTCCTTGATTAGTTTCCATCCATTGCTTCTTGTCCTGCCTTCAGGTGCTTTGGAGAATAGCTTGACTCCCTCTTCTTTGTGGCAGTCCCTGAGATATTGGATATGGGATTAAACCTTCAGTTTAATCCCAAAATGTATGGACACCAATGGGATAGCACTGGCATTGACAAAATCACCATCAATGAGTTGCAAAAGGCTGCTTTACTTGAAACAGTTTACATCCTTTGATGATACATTTAATGCTATCAAACAGCAATATCTGCCCATCCCAGATAAATGCCAAATTCAATCACAACATCTAACTGTTTATGCAACCAACTAAAGTATGTTAAACATGTTTGCTATCCAACTCTCAATGACCCTGGGCACATACAACATTCAAAGATAAAAAAAAAACATACAATAAAATCAATTAAAAATATCTCCTACTAACCACTAGGGAAATAAATGCTTCTACTATCCACAAAAAGTGGTCTTTATGCCTATTTTTACTGCTTTCAAGATATTCTTTGATTAAATATTTGTTGTGATAAGGAATCGCGTTGAAGCTCCATACATCTTTTCTCTTCAGTCCTTAGCATTAACTGAGGCTGGCTGTCCCCAGAGGGCTATTAATATACCCCTTGCAGATATTCTAGTTATTTTGTCCCAGCTGAAGACTGCTAAGAATATAAAACAGGACTGAATTAGCAGAGCAAACACATCCACTTAGATTGATAGACATTTGCTTCTACCCGAAGTTCTTCCTGTGTAAATCTATGGAGGCCCCTATCTCTCCCTTTCTTTATAATTCATAAAAAAGATTCTTCAGATTAACTTATCAAAATTTACCCAGGGAGGGTTAAAATCTCTGAAAATAGTGGCTGAGTTCATCATTGTACAATTTCAATTACATCTTATCATGATTAAAGGTTAGCACGTAAATCGGTAGTTGTTCAGTGTCTGAATTACAACACAATCACTAAAACCACTTCATAGGGACAGCCACTTGTCTGAAATGTATATAGTCTTCTGCTTGAGCAGGGGGTTAGACTAGAAGACCTCCAAGGTCCCGCCCTGCTCTATTCTGATTGACTCTGCAGTCCTGGATCTACGGAGTTTGTGCAAAATTTCTAAATAGTTTGATGTGAAAAATCAAGAGCAGAAAATATTAATTAAGCAGACAAATATTATTGCATTGGTCTAAGATCTACCAAATGTCTTACCTTTCTGAAACAATTGGTCCACGTTCTTCAGATCTGATGAGAAGAAGATTACTATGTCATGTAATTGACTGCTACAGTGACTGACAATGGCCAAAGAATAATAAGATGTAGAGAAAATACGACAAGTTTTAAGTCTTGTTTGACATACGTCAAGGAGAACCTGCCAGATGTGTTGCTGAACAATTCACAGGATTAAATGTTGGACTATCAGACAGTTGTAAGCAGATCTTTTCAAGAAAATATTCTTTCTGTTCTTGGATGAAGAAGCAGATCTTGCTAAGAAGTCTCACACAATTATATATATATTGTGTCTTGCCTAATCAGTGTGAACATCTAGCGATAAGAAGATTTGGTTCCTCTTTTTTGCAAGATAATCACCAGCCACAAAAGGAGGGCACTGCCCATAAACCTAGTCAACACTGATGAAAAGGAAAATTATTATTTTTTATTTTAACTGGAAACTTCCACGCAGGTTTCCCCAGAAAGTCAATGGGGAAGTCAGCAGGAAAGGGTGAAAATCATTGGGAAAAGTTTCCCTCCATTCACCCTTCAGCAGGTCCTATATGCTCACATCACACCAGCCAATCCAGCTCTCTGTTCAAGCTCCCCACCACACAAAAATTGTCACAGCCCTGAGCATCATCCACCCACCCCGATATGTGACACACATGTCACACAACCTTGTGAAGTGCCTCACACCTACCCTCATGTATCTAATGTCTCTCACACACCCTCTTGCGCCTCCTTACTCCCCCCACCATCTCCCCAGACCCTACGCATCCCCTCACTCACCCCCCCCATAAAAGAGTAATCACTTATCTGCCTGCAGGCCTGCGACTTTCAACTTCCTTCCAGCTTCTTCACTAACTTGGCTGGAAGTTAAATAATAATAATAATAATAATAATAATAATAATAATAATAATAATAATAATAATAATAATAATAATAATAATAATAATAATAATAATAATAATAATAATAATAATAATAATAATAATAATAATAATAAAGTTGGAAGGGACCTTGGAGGTCATCGAGTCCAACCCCCTGCTCAGGCAGGAAACCCTATACCATTTTGGACAAATGGCTGCCCAGTCTCTTCTTAAAAACGTCCAGTGTTGGAGCATTCACCGCTTCTGGAGGCAGGTTGTTCCACTGGTTAATTGTTCTAACTGTCAGGAAGTTTCTCCTTAGTTCTAGGTTGCTTCTCTCCTTGATTAGTTTTCATCCATTGCTTCTTGTCCTGCCTTCAGGTGCTTTGCAGAATAGCTTGACTCCTTCTTCTTTGTGGTAACTGGGACTGGAAAAAATTGCCATTGCTAAGGGATGCGGTCAGGCTTTATAACTGCATTATTTAATGATGACTTTTATTTGGTTAGACAAGCTATATAAGTTGTATATGTTCTGACTTTCTTTTTTGGTGGGTGCTCTGCTATGTTTGATACATTATGGGCATATCCCATTATTGATTTCAATTCATAGATGTGACAAGAGCAGTGACAGAAAATAAAACCATGATTTTAACTTCTTTAGATGTTAGAACTTTAGTTTATCCAAGGAACCATAGTGGAATCCTCTCCCACAATGGTTAGGTATTTGATTGTCTCAAATCACTAGTACTGAATAGAGCAGGGGTGTCAAACTGCCAGCCCACGGGCCGGATGCATCATAGCAAAACTGTGCCCACCCCATTGCCGGCAATGGCAAAAAAGTTACAATATGTGTTTTTGAGAAAAGAGGGATTGTTTTTTTCCCATCTGTGCAGTGACCTTGTTTGGTAAGGTCTCCCTTGGCTACAGTTCAATATCCAGAAGATAAAGGGTCTTTCATAACCTCCAAGATCTTCCCAAGCCTACTGGAAATAAGTTAGCCTGGACTGTTCTCTCCTCAACATCACTTCAGAATGGTGGAAATAAGTCTATGTGTCATTGTTCTGATTAACGAAACACTTCAAAGAACTTTCAGGCATTGTTTTTCCTAAAAAGTCTTTAATTGTGTAACAGTGTCAGCACAGCATGGAGGATGCCAGGATCTGAATTCCCCTCCCCTGAGCACATAAAATTCCAGCCTATTTCCCTCCTCTTATTTGCAGTCATAAATCACGTTCTCCAATTAGTTTGAAGGGCAAAGTTTCCCTTCTGTTCTATAGCCCACCTGGGTTTCTTATCTTAACTAATCCCCACAAATATTCTTTCTCCTCCCCTCCCAGCATCATCTAATTTAACTCTAAAAATACCACACAGCTTATACAGAGAGTGGCTGCCTCTTTATATATTATCAAAGCAAGAACATCCAATGTTAGCAGTGTTGACACTATGCTTGCATATGTTGAAGGGGTACGTTGAAGGAGACGGAACTTCAGATATAATATTACGTCTGTAAAGTTTAATCTCATGAATGTCTACTCAAAAAGGAATCCTGTTGTTGCCACTTACTCCCCTCATAGTTTATATTTGTTTGATAGCAAATGTGGGATGCAATTCTCTGTGCTATCCCTGAGACATTGCCCTGTACAATCAGTCTCAATTGCAAAAGAATTTTAGTTACGGTATCGTCATTTTGATGATTTTCTGGGATGGTCCTGGGTACAGAGCTTGTAGCAGTGGAGGGGAAATTCTTGCTTCCCATATCTTTCACCAATCCTCCACAAGAAATTTCATACTGCTTTTTTAAGTTTAACAAAATTCTCTTTATAATTCATTTCTGCTGCTAGAAAAAAAACATTATTCTACTGGTAAGATATATCTCTCATTAATGGCAAGCTAAAATATGCTTTACAGAGGATTTGAAACTTTTATCTGGTTTCGGAAGCTTCATCTTCCCCAAAGACTCTTTGAAACATGACTTTGATGCTCTCCCTGGACTGAGTTCCTTTCTTTCTCCCAACCAGAAAATAAATCACTGGGTTAATGCTGCTGTTTAGGCAAGCACTCAGACTAAAATAAAAAGGAAAGCTAAGATAGTCCCAGACATAGCTCATGTCAACAAAATGATCAACACATATGTAGATGTATAATGGAACAGAAAGAATAAGGAAACAGAAAAGAGTAATTAAGATCATGACTAAAAGTCTTCCACGTTTGATCTGTTCAGATCTCAGATTTATATTGATGAATAGAATCACAGAAGAGATTGTGATCAGTGGAAGGCAAAGCAGAGCAGTCACAAGCAAATGGAGTCTTGGGATGACATCATATAAAAATACATATTTCATGAGGCTCTGAATTCCACCCAGGAGGAAAGAGATGATCCAGAGGAAAACGCAGAGAGCAGGGGAGAAATGTTTTGAACGGAAACAGCGATGCCAGATTGGGAAGAGGATAGAAACACACCGGTCCACACTGATGGCTGTCAGAAGAAATAGACCATTGATATATATGATGTCAGAGAGACAAAATAGAAAAACCCGGTGAGTTATGGATGGCATAAAATCTGTAAAATAAGGAGTCGAAACTATAGGCATAAATATGAGAACCCCACAGTCAGAAATAGCTAAATTCAGAATCAGCACGGTGAAAGGGTTTCTCTTAATCTGGAAGCCGAGTAACCAGATGACAATTCCGTTTAACGGGAGTCCTATACAACAGGCGGTTAATATGATTGGTGGTATAATACGTTCAGTTTGGTCCTCATAAAAAGCACCGATACCATTATAGTAGGGATACTCTTCTGTAGCATTCATGTTTGCAGGTTGAAATTCTTCAAGAGCCTTTTTAATGATCCAAGAATCTCTCCTGTTAGAATCGAAGTTCCTGTTAGAAGAAAAGAAAGAAGGGTAGATTCAATAATTTCTCCATAATTGTTATATGTTCATCTTTATCTTCTCTGTTGACAGACTCAGTCAAGGTTCGGATCTTTGCTAATCCTACACAAAATCTCTTCTAAATCACCAGCTGACTGTGCGACCAACCATAATAATAATAACAATAGAGGAAGATTGCTCTGGCAGAAGCAAACAAGTAAAATAGAACTACTGTGTCAAGAGAAAGCAAAGACGGTATCAGGAATGATAGCCACCTTCGGTGTAATCCTAAAGTACCTAGAACCCAGTGGTGGGATTCAAATATGTGAACAACCGGTTCTCTATGTGGATGCCACTTCTGGAAGTCCATTCTGGGCCTGGGCAACAGAAAATTTGCTACCAGTTGTACCAAAGTGGTGCGAACTGGCTGAATCCCACCACTGCTGGAACCCCACTTTGACATAACCAGCACTGACAAATTCATCATCAGGCAATTGCAAAAGGCAGCTTTCCTTGCAACAGGTTACATCAGGGGTCTTCAAATGTGTCCCTTTTATGACTTGTGGACTTCAACTCCCAGAATTCCTCAGCCAGTGTGGCATGCTGGTGAGGAATTCTGGGAGTTGAAGTCCACAAGTCATAAAAGGGTCAAGTTTGAAGACCCCTGGGTTACATCAACTATAGTTTATTCAACTTGTATGCTAATCACCTCTCAATGATTCTGGGCACTCACAACATTAAAATGACAAAATAATTACAAAAAAATCAATCAACTCTCTCTAACTACCTACTTTAAAGGTAGATAGTTCCACTATCTATGAAAAGCAGTTTCTATGCCGAATTTCACTGTTTTGAGGACATTCTTTGCTGAAAGCTTCTTTCTTGTAAGGAATCAGTTTGAAGTTCCAACACCTTGCCAATATTCCAGATATCTTGTCCCAACTAAGGCACACTGGAAATATAAAAGCTGACCAAATCAGCAGAGCAAATGAATCTACTTAGATGGATGGACATTTGCTTCTAACTGAAGCTCTTCCTGCCTAAATCTAAAGAAAGCCTCTTTCTTTATAGGCCACAAAAAGAGATTCTTCAGATATCACTCCGATATAGAGACAAGTAGTCCAGAAAAAGTCAATTGAGATTTAGATAACTATCAACATATAAATGTCACAAAAAATATATTGATGCTGAAAATCAGGAGCAGAATTTATTAGTTAGGTAGATGGATATTATTGTATTTGTCTAGGATCTACCAAACACCTTACCTCTCTGAAACAATTGGTCCAAGGTCTTCAGATCTGGTGAGAAGAAGATTACTAGGTCATGTAACTGACAGTTGAACTGACTGGGAATGGCCAAAGCAGAACAAGTTGTAGAAAAAAAAAATATGATGGGTTTTAAGACCTGTTCAAGTTATTTGTAGCTCAAAACATGAAGAAAAGTAATTTCCATGCATTATACATTTTTCTTACAATGTCTAAAATTTGACATACCTCAGGGAAAACCTGTCCAATGTGTTGTTGGACAATTCACAGGATTAAATATCTGAGTAGCAGGTGATCATAAGTAAATCTTTTGAAGAAAATATTCTTTCTGTTCTGGAACAAAGAAGCAGATCTTGCTAAAAGTCTCACACGACTAGATATATTCTGTGTCTTGTCTAATCAGTGTGGACATCTAGTGATAAGAAGATTTGGTTCCTGTTTTTGCAGGATAATCACCAGCCATAGAAGGAGGGGACTGCTCAAAAACCTAGATAGCTCTTACAAAAAGGAAAAATCTTGTTTATTTGAACTAGATTGGTCTTCTCATCTGAGAAGATTTATCATGAACCTCTGCTCCTAAATCTTTGATCTTCGTCCTAAAGGTTGAAAAAAGGGCTAAAACCAGAAAAAAATCAATTGAGACTTATAGGATTATCAGGATATAAATATGGAATGTTTTAATATGAAATATGAAATACAGAAATACATAGCTACTAAAAAAACATGTGTTATTATATTTGCATTTCTCTGGGATAGATTAAGTGTTCCAAAATTATGACACATCTGAAAGTAATGGACCAAGCTCTTCAGAGTTGGAGAATGGAAGATTATTGTCCTGATATTGATGGTTGAAGTGAATGGCAATAGCAGACCTGTAGAAAAAATGTGATAAAGTTTTATTTAGATGAAGTTCAGACAGTTCATTGACAAGAAGGAAAGTCCACTCCCGGTCCACCAGAAGTGGCATGGATGCACTTCCAGAAGGCCTTTCTGGGCCTGGGAGTTCTCCGTGACCCAGAATGGTCCACCGGAAGTGGCATGGATGCACTTCCGGTGGGCTGTTCTGGGCCTGGGCGTCCTCAGAACGGACTTCAGAACGGAGTTGGAGAGTGGAAGATTATTGTCCTGATATTGAAGGTTGAAGTGATTGGCAATGGCAGACCTGTAGAAAATAATGTGATAAAGTTTTATTTAGATGAAGTTCAGACAGTTCATTGACAAGAAAGGAAGTCCACTTCTGGTCCACCAGAAATGGCATGGATGCACTTCCAGAGGGCCATTCTGGACCTGGGAGGCCTCCCTGGCTCAGAATGGACTTCCAAAAATGGCGTCAATTCACTTCCAGTGGGCAGTTCTGAAGTTTTCTGTTCGGTCTCTACTTCCACGTCTATCAAATTCTACAGGCAACTCTTTGAACATTGTCACTCGTGATGGGTGAGTAGACTTTCCTTCTTGTCAATGAACAATCTGAACTTCATCTAAATAAGTATCACATTTTCTCTGCAGATTTGGTATAGCCAATCACTTCAACCAGTGGTGGGATTCAGCCAGTTCGCACTGGTTCAGTAGAACCGATAGCTAATTTTTTGTTGACTTCGGCGAACTGGCTGATGCCTTACCCCCTTCTCACAAGGCTCAGATGGACTGCTGGAAGTGCATGGATGACACTTCCAGAAGTCCGTTCTGAGCTGGGCAGGTCTCCCAGGCCCAGAACAGCCCACCGGAAGTGCATGGACGCCACTTTTGGAAGTCCGTTCTGGGCCAGGGATGGATTTCTTCCAATCTATCAAAAGGAAAAATTCCAATACATTGAATCTCTTCATCCAATGGCTCAACTAACAGGAAAAAAAACAGCTTTTATCAAATGACTGCAGCACCTTCTACCAACAGCACCCATGAATCTGAATGAAACACTGTTGAATCAAGGTTGAATCAGAAAAGGTTTTGCACAAATCTAGAGATGAAGATTAGCCACTTAATACAGTATATATGGAGTCACTTAATGCTAGGGCAAGAAAATGAAAAGTCAAATAGAATAGAACTTTGAATGGTCACGAAACAAATGGTTATAAGTCAAGGACTAGCTGTATACACACACACACAGGCAAATATTTGATTATCAAATAGATTTCTCATTCAGCCCATTTGACTGAACCCGAACAAGTAATGAAAAAGTTTCCTTGACAGCTCAAGGACTACAAAAACATTTTAAGAATAGAATAAAATAGAGCTGGAAGTGACCTTGGAGGTCTTCTAGTCCAGCCCCCTGATCGAGCAGGAGATCCTATACCATCTCAGACAGGTGATTGTCTAGTCTCTTCTTAAAAATCTCCAGTGATGGAGCACCCACGATTTCTGAAGGCAAGCTGTTCCACTGGGTGATTGTCCCCACTGTCAGGAAGTTTCTCCTTAACTCCAGGTTGCTTCTCTCCTTGACCAGTTTCCAACCATTGTTTCTCATCCTTCCCTCTGGTGCTCTGGTGAACAACCTGACCCCCTCTGTCTTGTGGCAGCCCCTTAGATACTGGAACACTGCTATCATGTCTCCCCTATTTCTTTTTTTCTTTAGACTAGTCAAACCCAAGTCCCGTAGCCGTTCTTTCTTGATCATCTTAGTTGCTTTTCTCTGAACTTTTTCCAAACTCTCAACATCTTTTTGTGATATGGTGACCAAAAGTGGCTGCAGTATTCCAGATGTGGTCTTACTAGGGCTTTGTAAAGCAGTAGTAGTAATACTTTGTGTGATCTTGATTCTATGCCTCTGTAGCGCTACCTCCTCAGAGGCCGCCAATGCCCAGGCCCTCCCGGCCACGTCCCCCCTTGTCCAGCCTTGCAACAATGTTCTTTAGAGATCGATGAGATGTCTTACAACCGGAACTCACACAGCATTAATGGGTGGCAGGCTCTTCTTGTTGAAGCAGGACTTTCAGGCACGAACTTAACCAGTCACAGTGGTTGATACTCTGAAGATGTATATAACAGCTCAGGGTTGCTTTAGCAGCAGGAGTAACAGGCCCCTGAGCAATCATTCAGAATCCGATGAAATGGGGGGGGGGGGTAAACCCCGGCTCCAGATGGTAATAATAACAACGACAGCCAGTATGTTATGGCAATGGCTCATCCCCCAGGGCAACTCCCCCCACAATGTCCCAGCACCTATGCCAGCAGCGATGGCCACGGTCCAGATGCCTCCAAAGTCCGCAACAACAGTTGGCAGCAACAGTTGGCACCACCAGTCTCTCTCCTCCTGGTGCTTCTTCTCTAGGATTCTTCTTCAGGTTTCAGGATTCAAAAGCCACCCCCCTCCCTTCCTCTTTATTATTAAAATCCGAGGCTAGAAACCCCAGCCAACTCCCTTACTTCACACTCTCACTTGCCTCCGTTTCAGATATCCTCCCACGGAGGAAGCAATAAAACTTCACTCTATCTAGCCTCTATTTAAAATACCCTTGATAGAAAAATAAAGTAAGCTTCCAGACCTTCTCTTCTCAACTCCAAACCCCCGTCCCTTACTCTTTTTCTTCCCTTTTCTATCCTTCCTCCTTCCACTCATGCCAGCCACACCCAAGCCAACTGCAGCTGTCCCCATCTTCCCCTTCCCAGTCAAGCTCCTGCAAGCACTCTCGGGCAGTCCCTGCTACACCTCTGTTTATGCAACAGAGGAATGGGGAAAATTGTTCTCCAGACCATATTTCTTTTTAGAAGCTATTTTTAGATAGACCATTAGCCAATTGATGGAGGAGACCCAAGAGGAAAACCTCACTGATAGTTGGATTTCTCAGCTGATAAATGGGACTTTGACCACTGAGGAAGGGATCCAGCTGATTCAAGTGTGCAGTCTGTTCTTTTGTTTTGATACTAGTTTCTCTTTATGGTTTATTTCTCCTCTTTGGTCATTAGAAATATAAGGATCGGGATGGTGAAGCTTAACCTCTCTCCCTGGGGATGACTTTCTGGCCATGCTCCTTCAGAGCACATAGCAAAGGGCTTGAGTTCAAATCCTGTTGTGAGAATCCTTCCACTGCCTTCCCATGGCCTGGTATATCAATACCCAGGGAATCATCAGAAGGTGCAAAGCCTCTGGAGCAATTATGGTTTAGCAATTCCTAAGCTGTGTGGTGTTGGGTCCCTTATCCCCTTCTTCCGAATTGTTTCTGACATAGAAGTTGGTGCAGAGGAAAGATCACCTGATGTTGTTTGTTCTTTCTCCATTCTGTAACTATTATGTACAACTTCATACTTGGTTTTTTTTTATAATATTTTATTAAGTTTTTTCAGGGTAGGGAAAGACAAGGACCGTTATGGGTGGTGGGAATCGGCATAGGGTTCAGGGAAGAATTTGGGGTAGGGATGGATACAACAATGTGGTTACCTCCAATAACATTTCATGCTTTAGCAAGCAAACTATCTTCTGGATAAATGTATTCAAGCGGTCTAATATAATATTCAGTAACTGTAGTCAACAAGAATAACAGAAATTATAAAACATATAAATTCATCAAAAGAAAAAAAAATCAATCATCTTAATAAATTTCAGTTTCGTTATCTCACTTTGCTACCCATTGATAAAAATTTACCCATGTTTTATAATAGACTGAGTCTTCTTTCTTTTTAATCTTTAAGGTTAATCTATCCATTTCTGCACATTCTAAGATTTTCCTAATTATAACCTCGTCAGATGGTATATCTTCATTTTTCCAGTATTGGGCAAATACTATTCTCGCAGCTGTCAATATATGTACGGTAATATTAAATACTCATTCTCTTTCCCATAATTAGATCCTAATATTCCTAGCAGAAACAATTCTGGCTTAAATTCTAGATGTATTTTAGTCATCTTTTCCAGCCATATATGAATCTTAACTTGTTAATTATGGTTTAAAGCTGGAACAGAGGCCACTTCCTCTTGAGAGGAAAGAATCCTTTATTATACTTCATTTCTATAACAAGAAATACAGTTATGTACTCATAATAGATAACCAGCATTAAAGAAAAGCAGGAGTTTTGCATTTACAGAGGGTTTGAAATTGTGTTTGTAAACTTTTATCAGATTTCAGGAGCTTCGTCTGCCCTGAAGACTCTTTGAAAAATGACCTTGACGCTCTCCCTAGAGCCAGCTCTTTTCTTTCTCCCCACCAGAAAATAGATCACTGGGTTAACGCTGCTGTTTAGAGAAGCACACAGACTGAAGCAGAAATCTAATTCAGTAAAATGAATCAAATGAATCTTCTGAATAAAATAAATAACGAACACATAGATATATAATGGGAGTGTAAGAATAAGAAAACAGAGAAGAGTAATTAAGATCATCACTAAGATTCTTCCACGTTTGAGCTGTTTTGATTTAAGACATATTTTGATGAATAGGATCACAGTAGAGGTTGTGATCAACGGAAGGCAAAGCACAGCAGTCACGACCAAGTGGAGTTCATAGGGGGTGTAAGAAAGAATTAAATTATTAAGATTGATGCTAATTCCAACCAGGAGGAAAGAGAAGGTCCAGAGGAGAGCACAGACAGCACGGGACAAATATTTTGGCCGGGAACAGCGATGCCAGATTGGGAAAAAGACAGACACACACCGGTCAATGCTGATGGCCGTCAGAAGAAACAGACCGTTGATATATGTGACATCGGAGAGAGAAAAGAAGATTTTCTGGGAAATTCTTGGCTGTATAAAACCTATAAAAATGTCAATACAAGATATAGTCATAAAGATGAGAAACCCAAAGTCGGCAATAGCTAAATTAAGAATCAATACTGTGAAAGGGTTTCTCTTAATTTGGAAGCCAAGCAGCCTGATAACAATTCCATTTAATGGGACTCCAATACAGGATATGATCAATACGATAGACACAATGATATTTTTAAAATAGTTGGATATAGTTTGGTCTTCATGGAAAATTCTGCTATAATTATAGTCCAAATAATCTGCTGTAGCATCCATGTTTGCCAGGCTGAAATTCATCAAGAGATGCTTTTGTAATGCTTCAATAATCTCTTCCTTTAGAGTGGATAGTTCTGTTTGGAAAAAAAGCAGATTGGATTAAATAATTCATCAATAATTGTCATATCCTCATATCTAAACACTTTTGTGTACAGGCTGAGCCAACCTTTTGACTTCTGCTAATGATAATAGCAATAGTTGCCTTAGTGCAATTCCAAAATAACTGGAACACCACTTCAATGACATTGGCATTGACAAATTCGCAATCTCTCAATTGCAAAAGGAAGCTTGACTCACAACAGCTTATATCCTACGACAATACCTTTAGCACCATCAAACATCAATATCTGCTATCCCAGGTCCTTGGAAAGGACTCAATAAATGGATTTTGGTTCTCTGTGACAAAACGTAGTAATAACATACCAGGAAGACTTACTGAATAGTGTAGAGACCAAACTGTCTTACAATAACAAATGAAGAAAAGCGAGAATTAAATTAAAATTATTATAGGATGCAAAGGAAAGAGGAGGGCTCGGCCTCCCAAATTGGGAAAAATATTATCAAGCAGCAATATCGGTATGGATAAAGGATTGGATACACTTAAGGAACAGAAGACTACTGGCATTAGAAGACCATGACATGCAAATAGGGTGGCATGCTATAATGTGGGACGGGAAATATAAGGCTCATCAGTACTTTCAGAATCACCATATTAGATGGGCACTATTAGACATGTGGATAAAAATTAAAAAAAAAATAATTATATAAAAATTCCCAATTGGCTATCCATATTAGAGATATTCATGCACCCCAAATTCATAAATTTAGGAAGAGTAATTACATAGAAAGATATCTTAGACGAGAATGGGGACCTGAAAACAAGGAAAAGATTATCAGAAGATGGTATAGAGTTGGAATGGTGGGCATACTTACAAATACAGTTGCGATACAGAAAAAAAAAAAAAAAAACCAGGGATAAAATTAGAGCATACACAATTAGATAAAATCCTTCTAGGAACAGAAGATCAAATGATAAAAAAGATATATCAATATTTATTAGAACAAGATATGTTAGAACAGGTAAAAGAAACAATGTTAATCTGGAGTAAAAATTTTGGTTACAGTATTGACCTAGATAATTGGCAATCATTAAGGGACAGAAACAGGAGGTTAACGCTAGCCACCTCCTACAAAGAAAATTTATACAAGATGTTTTACAGATGGAACCTTCCCCCTACAAGGCTAGCAAAAATAGATACAAAAACCTCACCAACATGCTGGAAATGTAGAAGGCTTCCAGGGACTTACTATCACATGTGGTGGGAATGTTCAAAGGCACAAAATTTTTGGAATCGGATAAAAAATTGGCTGGAAGAAATACTATTACAAAAAATTGATTTAAAACCAGAAATCTTCTTATTAGGGATTATTAATGATAAACTCAGCAAAGCATCTTTTTACTTACTATTGCATA